TTCCTCCCCCTTCCTCTGCCCCTCCTCCATCACCAGCAGCAGCTCCAGCTCTGGTTCTGGTTCTGGTTCTGAGGTATGGACCAGAGCCTCGGTCAGGGTCTGGATCATCTGGGCAGCCATCCGTCCGTCTTCCAGCTCCTGCAGGCTGCACGCGGCTGCAAACGACCTGCAGGGTTACCACGGCAACAGAGACTGATTAACAGAGAACCACAGAAGAAGAGGAGGATGAAGTACTGAGTGAGACCAGGTTCTGGACAGACCAGGTTCTGGACAGACCTGCGGAGGATCTGGTTCTCTGCGTTCAGGATCGACGAGACTTCACTGAGCCAGCAGGCCAGAGTCAGAGCCAACTGGTCCAGACCCAGACCGTCCAGACCCCCCTGAGACACCAGCTGACCCCACCGGGCCTGAAGACCAGGACCAGGATCAGGATCAGGACCAGGACCAGGACCAGGATCAGGATCAGGACCAGAAAAACAGGTGAGACAGGTACAGACAGGTGAGACTGGTACAGACAGGTGAGACGGGTAAGACAGGTGAGACAGGTACAGACAGGTAAGACAGGTTGAAACAGGTGAGACAGGTACAGACAGGTACAGACAGGTGAGACAGGTACAGACAGGTGAGACAGGTACAGACAGGTACAGACAGGTGAGACAGGTACAGACAGGTGAGACAAGTACAGACAGGTGAGACAGGTGAGCGTACCTGCAGGAATTCTCGGAGCACAGGTGTGACGCAGACGTCCAGCGGCTGCAGACGACAGCAGCTCCCTGCTGGGATGAAGATGATGTCTGTGGACGCGGAGGTCAAACTGCTCCTGAACTCGTCTGTCAGGTGACCCCGATGGACGTCGACCACCAACACAGACCGAGCGTTACCCTGAGAGGACACTCGGGGGCGCCACACCTGCACACAGGTACACATGGAGGGATTTCACAATAAGAGCGTGGAGGACAGGAAGTGTTAGGTCTCCAGGTTGAAAAGCAGATCTCACACAGACCTTGTCGACCCAGGTGCAGAGGCGGTCCCGGTCCGAGAACCCGTCCTGTCGGGCCTCCAGCAGGATGTTGTCTGGGAACCCTTCAGGAACCTGAGACCGGGTTCCCCTGAAGAACAGCAGGGGGGGCAGGAACGTCCCGTCAGACAGCGCTGAGAGAACGACGTCAAACGCCGGTCTGTCTCCAGACGAGCTGAACAGCTGCAGGGCCGACGGGTCCTGGTCTGAGAACCGGTCCGGGTCAATGAAGATGGATAACTCGTCCATGGAGGCGACGCAGTGAGGAGGAACCCGGTTCCTGTCGATCTGCACACAAACACACAGACTGATGCATCTGCAGGTGGATTAATGAAAGTTACAAACATAACGAGAGAAATGATTTCTCTGTGTCTAATTCAATGAAACAGCTAATGAGTGACCTCTGACCTGTGCACTCAGCAGGCCCATGAATGTGCGCTTGTTGTCTCTGATGGTCTTCGGCAGTCTTCCTCGGTGGTGTCGGTTGCCGGCGGGCTGCAGACTGAGCTCGTGTCTCAACATGAAGTCCACGCTCCAGCTGTAACAGTCCCTCAGCTCGCCGTCCTCTCCCAGAGCTCTCCTCGCCGTCTGCAGCAGCGCGTCTTCGCTCACGCTCAGCTGCTGCTCCCGCTGACTCAGCACCCACTCCGCCACCTTGTCCGTCCTCCAGCGCCACTTCCTGTCCGCCAGCTCACGCTCCTGCTGCCCGGTCCACGAGCGGATGGTCAGCGGAGACGTCCCGTAACGCCGGGAGGCCTGAGAGACGCCGTGACACAGAGAGAAGAGAACCACCGAGAGCTGGGACGCCGTCAGAGGAGGAACCGTACACTGAGGAGGAAGAGGACAGAAAACCATCATCATCATCATCATCATCATCATGTGACAGCCTGATTACAACAGAGTGATGTTCTTCTTTGTACTTTATAATAAACACTCTCTGCTCACCTGCTCAGGTTGTGGGCGGGGCCCCAGGATCTTGATGGTCATGGCGGGGGGAGAGGAGAGAGGGGAGGGGGAAGTGAGAGCTTTGACTGACAGCTGGGTGGAGGTCTGACTGGAGGGGAGGAGGTGGATGGGGATGAAGGCGCCGCCCCCCCGACAGATAGATGATGTCACACTGCAGGAGGAGGAGGAGGAGGAGGAGGAGGAGGAGGAAAAATGATGAGATGAATCATAATTGATTTTGTTTAACTGATCAATCGCTGGACAGGAAGTGATGTAAGGACCCGAGAGAGGAAGAAGGAAGAAATCAGCCTCACAGTGACACCTGAGATTAGCATTAGCATCTGGAGCTAGCTCAAACACCTGCTGCCACTTCACATTAAAGAGAACAAATGAAAGAGAACAGAGCTAACTGAGCTAACAGAGCTAACTGAGGCAGTTTGTGTTATTCAGGAGAAAGAGAGTGAGTGAGTGAGTGAGTGTGTGAGTGAGTGAGTGTGAGTGAGTGAGTGAGTGAGTGTGTCTCTGTGTTTTGTTGTG